CTAATGAGGGTACGTAGGCAATCTAACGAGGAGATTAGATGCAGCCATAAAGTATAAGATAAATTACTATGTGATTTGATTATCGAGTTGTGGTATGCCATATCCCGGAGGCGGGGTATGTTGAGATACGAGTATTTGGTGATGTCACGTGTCGATCCTGGACGTATGTCGGGATCGGGGCATGACAATTCTTGAGTTTCTTTCCAAGAGGAATTTATTTTCATCAGGTTTTAGTTTATTTTTATTTATTTAATTTTTAGCTCGTGTTCCAGATTCGAGTTTGAATTTTCTACTGACCCGAGTTTGGAGCATGGTAGAATGGTATCAAAGCATTTGGTGCCTCCCACCTAGATTCGGTCCCTTGCCTTCTCCCGAGGTATTTTCCTTAAATGGAGGCTTGATTCATGATTTTGGATTTGGATTCGTGGTTGTTGGTGGGTCGAATCCACCTGTGGTGACACTCTCGTGTGGCTGCACTGCCTGAGGCACCCAGATTTGTGGCGGTTCTGCTTGCTTGTCTCGTAGAAGCTACGAATCTCACTTATGTGGTGAAGTTGCAAGTGGTCTTCGATTGTGTGTCCTTGTCTTCCACCAAGATTAGGGGACCGGTGGATTCTATTATTGGATTAGTGTAGATTTTGTTTGTGCCGCATTTGGCGGAATATGTGGACTCGCTATGAGCGTATTGATGTGGTCTCGCCTTCAAGCAATGATTTTGTGGTTTCGTCTTTCAGTTGTGACTTTAGGTGGTTTCGCTCTCCTATGATGACTTTGTGTGGCCTCGCTCATCAGTGAACATCGGTGTGTGCACTAGTATTGGTTTGTTGCGTGTATCATTCTTGTGACAAATTTGTATTGGTGCACCTTGCTTGTGATAGCCGTGTAGGGGTTTTTAATTAATTGATTCTTTGTGCAAATTCACTCCAGATCAATGTATTGGTCATTGGAGAAATGTACCCAATTGACTTCTATGTATTTGTTTGTAATGATTAATGAAATACCGCCATCGCTCTTGTCAAAAAAAATTGCAACCTGAAAATCCACTTCTCAATTTTGTGGGCCCAATACCAAAGAGTTGGACTATTGTAGAGACTCCATTTTTCAATATCTCTATCAATGGAAAACCGAATTGTTGATCTTTCTGTGCAAAGTTTTGCAAAGATTGTTATAAAAATGTAAAAGTTATAGAAAGATAACCTTTATTCGGGATAGGAATGAAGCAGTTGCAGAGTATTATACCAATACAAGCTGTTGCAGAGGAAGTAATGTATATTATTACTATTAGATATTTTTCTCTTCCTTTTCTCTCTACTCAGTTGAACGTTCGTAAAGCTCTATTTATAGAGCATCACCATGGAAACAAACAAAAACCCTATTAAGCATATGATATGTCTACTGTATGCATGTGGGCATACATTATTATACTATTTACAACACTCCCCCTTGGATGCCCACATATCAACATCAGTTGCCTCATTAAAACCTTGCTTGGAAAAACCCTGTGGGAAAAAAAAAACCATAGCGAAGGAAAAAGAGTACAACTTTTATCCGGATGGTATTGAGCATGCTTATGTTGCCTCGTTAAAACCTTGATAGGAAAAACCCAGTGGGAAAAATCCTAAGCGAAGGAAAAAGAGTACAACATGCATGTATCATGGATGCTCCCCCTGAATTGGATCTCCCCCTGATTCTGCATTCTTTAAATTTGAAAGCCGACGTAATCCGATTCCCTGCACCAGTTTCTGAAATATGCACTTTGGTAGAGACTTGGTGAACAAGTCTGCTAAATTTTCATTGGAACGGATTTGTCTGACTTCAATAACTTTAGCCTTCTGAAGCTCATGTGCACTGAAAAATCTTGGAGATATGTGTTTAGTCTTATCACCTTTGATAAATCCTTCCTTCATCTGGGCGACACAGGCTGCATTATCTTCGTGGATGACAGTTGGAGTGTCTGTCTTTGAAGGTAGACCACATGAATTCCGGATGTGATGGATCATTGATCTTAACCAAGAACATTCACGACTTGCTTCATGTAGAGCAATTATTTCCGAATGATTGGAAGATGTTGCAACTAGCGTTTGCTTCGTTGATCGCCATGAAATTGCAGTATCTCCATTAGTGAACACATATCCATTTTGTGAGCGGGCTTTATGCGGATCAGAGAGAAAACTAGCATCGGCGTATCCAACAAGGATTTGTTCATTTGTGGGCTTGTCTGAGTAGAAGAGACCCATATCTGTTGTCCCACGAAGGTATCGTAGAACATCTTTGACTCCCTTCCAATGACGAATTGTTGGAGCAGAGCTGTACCTGGCTAACAAGTTAACTGAAAAAGCTATATCTGGTCTAGTACATTGTGCTAAATACAATAAAGCACCTATTACGCTCAAATATGGTACTTCTGGACCAAGGACCAGTCCATCATCTTCTTTTGGACGGAATGGATCTTTCTTAACGTCTAAAGAACGAACAACCATTGGGGTGCTAAGTGGATAAGCCTTGTCCATGCCAAATCGCTTCAGTATTTTTTCAATGTAAGCTGATTGATGGACCAAATTCCACTAATACAATGCTCGATCTGCAGGCCTAGACAATATTTGGTTTTCCCAAGGTCTTTCATTTCAAATTCGCTTTTCAGATATTCAGCAGTTTTATGGAGCTCTTCAGGAGTCCCAACTAAGTTCATATCATCAACATATACTGCCACTATAGCAAATCCAGAGTTGGATTTCTTAATGAACACACAAGGGCAGATGACATTGTTGATATATCCTTCTCTAATCAAATACTCACTAAGACGATTATACCACATTCGCCCAGATTGTTTCAGCCCATATAGTGATCGCCTTAATTTGATTGAGAACATACCCCGTGGTTTGTTTGTTGCTTCAGGCAACTTAAGTCCTTCTGGGACTTTCATATATATGTCAGTATCTAAATCTCCATATAGATACGCGGTGATGACATCCATAAGTTGCATGTCAAGTTTTTCTGAAATCACCAAACTTATTAAGTAACGGAACGTAATTGCGTCCATTACAGGAGAGTATGTCTCCTCATAATCAATTCCAGGTCTTTGTGAAAAGCCTTGTGCAATGAGTCGTGCTTTGTATCTAGCAATCTCGTTTTTCTCATTGCGTTTCCTTGTAAATACCCATTTGTAACCTACGGGGTTTACATCAGTTGGGGTTTGGACTACTGGTCCAAAAACACTTCGTCTTTCCAAGGAATTTAATTCTGCCTGGATTGCATCTTTCCACTTAGGCCAATCTTGTCTCTGTTTGCATTCATCAACAGAGCGGGGCTCAATATCATCACTTAATATGATTTCAGTGGCTACTGCGAATGCAAACATATCGTCAATGATTATTTCATTCCGATCCCACAATTCATTAGTACATGCATAATTTATGGAGATTTCTTTGCTTTCATGTACTTCTGTCTCTTCAGGGCCATTTTCTTCTTCTGGAAGTCCAGAGGCATGAATTGTGGATTTGTCATTGACTCTCTCTTCCTGAATGATTTCATTTGGATTCAGTTGTGCCCTCGTCTTTCTCTTCCGAGGGGCTGAATCTTTTGAACCTGGTGGTCTACCACGCTTCAAGCGTGCACCAAATGAATCATTCGCTGCCACTTTATTTTGTCCAACAGGGACATCAATTCTGGCAGGTGCATTTGCAGCTGGTATATGCGATTTTGTCACTTTCATAGCGTCATTAAATGCATCTGGCATTTGATTGGCAATGCTTTGAAGATGAACGATCCTTTTCACTTCATTTTCACATTGAAAGGTTCGAGGATCAAAATGAGACAAGGTGGGAACAACCCATGTCAGCTCTTTCCGTTCTTCTGGAACGGTCTTTTCTCCCCCTAACGATGGGAAGACTGTCTCATCAAAATGACAATCAGCAAAACGAGCTGTAAACATATCACCTGTCAAGGGTTCCAAATATCTAATAATAGATGGTGAATCAAAACCCACATAAATTCCCAGTCTACGCTGAGGTCCCATTTTAGTGCGTTGCGGGGGTGCAATAGGCACATAAACAGCACAACCAAAAACTCGTAAATGTGAAATGTTTGGCTGATGTCCAAACACGAGTTGTATTGAGGAGTATTGGTGGTTGGCTATAGGTCTCAATCGAACCAATGATGCAGCATGTAGAATGGCATGTCCCCATGCAGAAACTGGCAATTTGGTTTTCATAAGCAGAGTGCGGGCTATTAACTGAAGCCGCTTGATCAATGCTTCTGCTAAGCCATTTTGAGTATGGACATGAGGAACAGGGTGTTCAACATCAATGCCCAATGTCATGCAGTAATCATCAAAGGTTTGAGACGTAAATTCACCAGCGTTATCAAGTCGGATTGATTTAATGGGATAATCTGGGAATTGTGCTCGTAACTTAGTTATCTGAGCAAGAAGTCTCGCAAAAGCTACATTCCGAGTAGACAAGAGACAAACATGTGACCATCTAGTGGATGCATCAACCAAAACCATAAAATATCGAAATGGTCCACAAGATGGTTGAATAGGTCCACATATATCCCCTTGAATTCTTTGTAGAAATGATGGGGATTCAGCATCAACCTTTAGTTGTGATGGTCTAATTACCAACTTCCCTTGAGAACAAGCCTTGCAAGGGTTATCATTTGAGATAGCAATGTCTCTGCTCAATAATGGATGTCCATTAGAGTTGGTAATGATCCTACGCATCATGGTGGATCCTGGATGACCCAGACGGTCATGCCAAAGCATGTAAACCTTTGAATCAGTGAACTTCTGGTTCATGATAGTATGTGATTCAACTGTCCTTATGTATGTATAATATAATCCACTCGAAAAAACCACGCAACTTCTCCAATATACGCTTCTGGGTATCATTGGAGGTAATGCATAGATACTCCACATTTTTTGCACTTTTCGTTTCAATGTGGTATCCATTTAGACGTATGTCTTTGAAACTCAACAAATTTCGAGTAGATCGAGTAGCATACAATGCATTTTGTATGGATAATATTGTTCCATTTGGTAACATAATCTGGGCTTTCCCTGAGCCTTCAATCACATCTGAAGGTCCTGATATTGTTGTTACCCCGATTTTTGTAAGCATTAAGCTTGAGAAATACTTTCGATCACGAAGTATTGTATGTGTGGTTGCACTGTCTGCAAGACAAATATCTCCGCCATTTCTTATGTTCTGAGAATAACCACAGTTTTTATCCATGCTTTCTGAGTAAATGGAATCACAGTTAACAAACAATTTATAACAGGAAATTTACATGCCATTTTTATTGAATCTGAAAAACTAGTTTTAGACAACAAGTTCAGCATAATAAAAGTACATCAAACATAAACGATTTAGTCGGACCGATATACTTCATTCCCCCTTTCCGTAATGAAGTCTGAAACATCTAGGTGAGTTGCGTCAAATTGCCCTGATAAATCAAACACTGGATCAGGTATATCCATTGGTTTAGCCTGGTCGAGAAAATTGGTCTCGACACCCTTCTTCTTGAGGGAGGCTTGATACAACTCCACCAGATGTTTTGGGGTACGACAAGTTCGCACCCAATGCCCATTGCCACCACACCTATGGCAAGCTCCTTCAGAGTTCCTGGGAGCATTGGTCATGTTAGCTTTGCCTTTGTGACGATTCACATTTTTGAAGCTCGGGCCAGAATTATGCCTCTGAACCTGGTTGTGAAACTGACCACCATGGTTCTTGCCTTTCTTATTCCATCGACCTCGTTTGTGGCCACGTCCTTGTTTATGATAATTACCACCAGAGGATGTGGCGTTCACTTCGAGGGAAGTATCATTTACTTCTGGGAATGGTGCAGATCCAGTAGGTCGGGAATTATGGTTTTTCATCAGGAGCTCATTGTTCTGTTCAGCTACCAGGAGCACAGATATCAGCTGGTTGTATTCAGTGTAGCCTCGCGCTCTATACTGCTGCTGCAGGAGCACGTTATTGGCATGAAATGTGCTGTAAGTCTTTTCCAGCAATATTTCATCAGTAATGGTATCCCCACAGAGCTTCATCTGAGAGGTAATCCTGAACAACGCAGAATTGTACTCCGCCACTGATTTGAAATCCTGAATTCTCAGGTGAGACCACTCATAGCGAGCTTTTGGAAGAATCACCGTTGTCTGGTGATTATATCTGCTTCGTAAGGCCTCCCAGAGAGCTAACGGATCTTCAACCGTTAAGTACTCACTCTTTAGTGCCTCATCAAGATGGCGGCGAATAAAGATCATAGCCTTCGCCCGATTTTGAGAAGATGAGCTGCTTTCTTCCCTGATGGTATCTCCAAGATTCCCTGCTTCCAGATGGATCTTGGTATCAAGTACCCAAGTAAGGTAATTCTTCCCGGTAATGTCCAGGGCAGCATATTCAAGCTTAGCCAAGTTCGTCATTTTCTTTTCTGAAAGAAAATGAGATGTGTAAGAACTTGTAGTAATATGTATTCCTAGAGGAATGTGATGTTAGAACTTCTGGTTCTTACAAATTTTTCATTTTGATCTTCAGGCCAAAATGATAAGCACTCGAAACTTCTGGCTCGAGATTTTCAGGGTGAATGAGAAGGGCGATTGTACCGCACCATTCTCATTGAAAGAATGTAACATGGAATGGGCGATTATTCCACACCACTCAAGTAGCAAGAAAATTGAAATACGCAGAGCAGGGTGGGCGATTATACTGCACCACCTAAAATTGCAATGAAATTAAACAACAAGTAAATTTAAATTTGGAGAACAAGGAGGGCGATTATACCGCACCACCTAAAATTGCAATGAAATTAAATAACAAGTAAATTTAAATTTGAAGAGCAAGGAGGGCGATTATACCGCTCCACCTGAAATTTGCAGTAAAATTAAATAACAGGTAAATTTAAATTTGAAGAGCAAGGAGGGCGATTATACCGCTCCACCTGAAATTTGCAGTAAAATTAAATAACAGGTAAATTTAAATTTGAAGAGCAAGGAGGGCGATTATACCGCTCCACCTGAAATTTGCAGTAAAATTAAATAACAGGTAAATTTAAATTTGAAGAGCAAGGAGGGCGATTATACCGCTCCACCTTTATTTGCAGTAAAATTAAATAACAGGTAAATTTAAATTTGAAGAGCAAGGAGGGCGATTATACCGCTGCACCTGAAATTTGCAGTAAAAGTAGATCTGCAGTCCAAGATAGGCGATGATACCGCACCATCTTGGATCGCAGTAAGATGAAATTTGCAGTTCAAGGTGGGCGATTGTACCGCACCATCTTGGATTGCAGTAAAATCAATATAAATATTATGTTAGTAATCAATATCCAAACCAAACAAGTAATCAAAGATGTATGTAACCGCTAGTTGGAGAACTACGAGCAGGCATGGAGCAAATAGTTCGTCGCGAGGATATATCACGCAGTTGAGGCAGATGAAGAAGATGAACAGGAAAAACCTTAGAGGAAACATTTTTTTTTTTTTCGTTCGGCGGAGAGAAATGAGAGAATGATTTCCTTTATTGTTTAGTGAATGTAAATGAGACATGGTTATACTTAGAGACTCGTGCTGATAACGTGTTATAAAAATGTAAAAGTTATAGAAAGATAACCTTTATTCGGGATAGGAATGAAGCAGTTGCAGAGTATTATACCAATACAAGCTGTTGCAGAGGAAGTAATGTATATTATTACTATTAGATATTTTTCTCTTCCTTTTCTCTCTACTCAGTTGAACGTTCGTAAAGCTCTATTTATAGAGCATCACCATGGAAACAAACAAAAACCCTATTAAGCATATGATATGTCTACTGTATGCATGTGGGCATACATTATTATACTATTTACAACAAAGATGAAATTTTTGCAATCGAATTAATATGTTGTTGCATGTCGTTATTGATCAAGACTTCTTGACTTGACTTTAGAACACAGAATAGTCAATCTGCAGTTTTTAACACTTGGCCTCAAACCATTGATCTTCATCATTTTTAATGGGTTGTACTATATGTTTCAGAACATGGTGCATACCATCAAAGATCAGATGGAACTGGTCAACTTTATTTATTCATTGGAAAGAGATCCTCTCCGAATCTCTTCCACCAAAATCACCAAATCAAGTGATCCGGACCCTTAAAATTTGATCCAACGGCTAAAATTGTTATAACTTTTAAAAGGGATCTTTGTTTTTAGTCGTTGGATCAAATTTTAAGGGCTCAAATCACTTGATTTGATGGTTTTAGAGGAAGAGATCCGGAGACGATATCTTTCCTTATTGTATGATTGACATTGGGAAGGGTGGAATGAATCATGGATCTCAAGTGCAGAACTGAATGCTCTTAACTACTTGAGTTATAATCTGCTAATCAAACTGTCTTTGGACGAATGTTTACTTATGTATGATCAGAGTACATACAAAACAGATAAAACCAAACACAATTAAATATTTGCAACTACACAAGATCAACAATAGTACTTTAGGGGCAAGCATGAGGGCAATTTTTATTCAATTACTATGCCAATGCTAAAGGTCGTCATTCTTTATCTAAAAAAAAATGACTTAATCCATGACCAGGCATTAAATCGTGTATTCTTACATGAAATTATATTCTTAATCTAACATACAATTAATAAACGTAGAAGAATCCTCCAAGTGTAGAAGAGTCCTATCAAACAAGTACGATTATAGTGGATGGCGTTTCTCTCCTACTTGACGTCAAGAAGAATATCTACACTTCCTAGAGACATATGTAGTTGGAGGAGGTGTCCCTATTGTTGGGGCCTCATCTCCAAGCCGAAGTATTATCTCCTCCTTGCTTTCCCTTGAGTTAATGAGTTAATGAGATATTTCTTTTCTAATGAGAAATGAATTTGCAGTTTGAAAAAAACAACATAGACCAAAACCAAAGCACAAGTTCCACGCAGATAGGCCAGTATCCACTACACCGGTTAATTATTATGGATGGTTCTTTCTTTGCAAGTTGCAAAAACATGACATGACAACAATGATTGATTGATGTTTAGCTGCATTCATTATTTGTTCATAAGAATACTTTAGATTAGTTTAGACTTTATATTAGAAAAGAATGCTTTTGGAATAGTATTGTGTGTCTATTTATCTCTCAAAGAGAAATTTATAGGATGTTACAATCATTTCAATAAGGAAAGAAATAATTACATGCAATCATACTATGCTAAGAATTCCAAGATTACATGAATATACACAAAAGTCAACACTCCCGCTCAAGTTGGTGCATATATGTCGTTGTTGACCCTAAAAACTACCAAATCTATGTGGCGCGCAGGCCGAGTAACTAGTGAGCTAACTACGTCATTTGGTTGATGCGGGGCGTGCCAACTCGTCAGCCAAGCTCGGCCGAGGAGTAAAATATGTTGATGTTGCGTCGGGTGCGCTACTGACTTCTCAATCTTGTGATTGTGGTCGAGGAAGGAACACTTTCAGCCTTCGGGTTCTAGAGCTTGAAAACAAGGCTGCTAGTTCTGCGAAGTTCACAAATCGTCAGCGTCGGATTCGGTCACAGTGATTATATTCGTAAGAGTATAAGCACGCCGAATCAACACCAATGTATAGGGGCACAGATACTCAAAACAAATATATGTCTTGATGGTGAACGTGGTTCGGCCGTCAGAATGCCGAACTCTAAAACCTACTTGTGAGTATCCAATCATAAAGTAACTCGGCGTTCAATGTGCCGAGCCCTAGTAAACTGTAACACCTCACCCCGCCGAAAAGGCTAATGAGATGACCTTTGCCAATAAAGACCCGAAAGTATTTTTCGATCGAGACTTGGATAGATAACCAGTCGACCTCGACACAGTGCTGTTTATCCAAACTTAAGGTGTTCCGTGGTCGACTGGTTCTACAACGACAATGTTGTTTATCCAAACTGAAGGTACCACCGGTTGCCTTCACAGTGCTGTTTATCCAAACTGAAGATGTGTCGACGGAAAAAGAAAATTAAAATCTCAAGGTTGTTGAGAGGTTTCGCGAAAGCGAAGGTTTGCGCAGGGCAGTTTGTGTGTTGAATTGGAGAGAGCCTTAATGATGTCCTTCTCCCTCTATTTATAGTAGTCAACCTGCTTCCGATCAAATCACAACCATACTCGGATTAGAACTCCTTCCCCCGATCCAACCTTATATCGGCAAGTCCTACTCATACTAGGACTTTGAACTCAACCCCCTTATCAGGCCGCATTCAATCCCAAACTTCAACATCCTGATCCTGTTGAAACTCCTTCTCATATCAGGATTCAACTACCCATGGATTCCTAATAAGACACGGCCGACCTTGGCTATGTGGCCCATAAGTCGGATGACCCCCAGCTACTCTTAAGTATGGCCTCTGGTCGAAAACAATTCTAAACTCAGCCCAAACCAATATTTTGGGCCCAAACATTGCCCCCTCGATTCTGAGGTCCTCGACCTACCCTCCTTGGTTCGAGCCTCGACCTTGAAGAAGCGAAACTGACCTAAAGACAAACACTGAATCCTCTTGAGAAATACCACCATACGCATTTATGAGACATAAACCCACGATCTCGATTCTCCCAACCGTCCTGCCACATGTTGGTCCCCTGGTTAACCTAGCAGGCCTTAATCATGACCCTCAAAAACATGCGACCGCCTAAATGTCTCTCTTGCACTAAACCCGCCGCAACACGCAATCGTGCGTCCTCGAACAGCGAAAACCTTGGTCTTTTCGCCTAGATTCTTTGAATATCTACAATGATTAGCAACTTTCCCGCTTGATTCTATCCATAATTTTGAAAATCAAACGTTTAGCCTTCCTTCCCAAATGCCTATAAATACCCGAATCCTTTCCATTTGTACCTTACGCTTTCCAAAACCCTTGAAACTTCCTTGCCACTTTGCTTTCAAAACTTTCAAAACCTAGAAAATCCCAAGCTTTCATCTCAGAAATCTTTAAGCCTTCTTCAATGGCCTCCTTCATCTCCCAGCTCTCCAACGAGAGCAACAAGTGCAAGGACTTCATCGATCGGAACGCCATCAAGACTTTGCACTTCGAGAGTGACCTAAACACTAAGCCTGGTAAACGGGTCGTGTCTATCGTGTTCGTGTTGTTTTCGTGTAATACCTGTTATCTTAACGGGTCGTGTCGTGTCACACCCGTTATCTCAACGGATCCTTAACAGGTCGGGTCACTTTACCCAATGGGTAAAGTGACCCGACCTGTTATGACCCATTAAGACTTGTTAAGAAAAATATTTTTTTTCTTCTCAAATTTGCACATACCACACATTGCCACATAAATATTACTTCAAAACATTAAAACACATTTGTCGTTTAAGTACTACATCTACACTCGAAAATAAGAGCCTAATAAACAAACATCCATACACTACTAGTCTATTACAAAATATTAAATGTGCAAGGATACGCAAAATGAAAAAGTTTTTGCTTTCAAGGTTGTGAAGCCTTTCTCAAAAGTTTAAACCTTGCCAATGGAACTCAAAGCTTGCATGTTATTCCTTTTACAAAATCCTCAATTTTCATCAATCATCATGGCATAAGATTTTGTGGTATCCACTAGTGTAAATATTTTAAATTGAAGATCAAATTCATTCATTGTATTCATGTAGGGTTAAGGAGTGTAGCTATAAAACATCATCAAAATCAGAGTTAAAATAACCGTTAAATCGTGATTTTTAGTTGATAACCGTCGAAAAGTTTTGTCCCGTTACTTTATATTTGAATGTTTGTTTTTTGCGATTTTTGGCGTATGCGATCTTGAAGCATATACAAACAAGTTTGATGGTTGGATCGTTGAAATTAGTTTCGTAGAATGCGTATCCCATCAAAACAATAGATTCACTAACACTTAGAGTATATTTATACTTTCAATAAGTATAACATAAGATTTTGTGGTATCCACTAGTGTAAATATCTTAAATTGAAGATTGAATTCATTCATTGTATTCTTATAGGGTCAAGAAGTGTAGTTGTAAAAAATCATCAAAATCGGAGTTAAAATAACCGTTAAATCATGATTTTTCGTTGATAACCGTCAAAATTTTTTGTCCCGTTACTTGATCTCTGAATGTTTGTTTTTTGCAATTTTTGGCGTATTCGATCTCAAAGTATATACAATCATGTTTGACGGTTGGATCGTTGAAACTAGTTTTGTAAAATGTGTTGGATCGTTGAAACTAGTTTCGTAGAATGCGTATCCTATCAAAACAATAGATTCACTAACACTTAAGAGTTTATTCATACTTTCATTAAGTATAACATAAGATTTTGTGGTATCCACTAGTGTAAATATTTTAAATTGAAGATCGAGTTCATTCATTGTATTCGTATAGGGTCAAGGAGTGTAGCTATAAAAAAATCATCAAAATCGGAGTTAAAATAACCTTTAAATCATAATTTTTCGTTGATAACCATTGAAAAGTTTTGTTCTGTTACTTGATCTGTGAATGTTTATTTTTTGTGACTTTTAGCGTATGCAATCTTGAAGCATACACAAACAAGTTTGACGGTTAGTTTCATATAATGTGTATCCCATCAAAACGATAGATTCACTAACACTTAGAATTTAGGGTTAAACTCTGTTTACTACCCTCATGTTTCGTGGTTTTCAACATTTGGTAGATCAAGTTTTTTTCATTCAAGAGTCATACCTAAAGTGTAAATTTTGGGACAGTCTCATACATCCATTAGTCAAATTGTTAAGTTTTCCGTTAACTGATGACGTGGCACCCACGTGGACAATGACTGGGCGCCACGTGTCATTAAAAATATTAAAAATATAAATTAAAAAAAAAATTTCTTTCCTGCAACCCGCACCCTCCCTAGCTTCTTTTCTTTTTTTTTCCT